TTGTCAGCTGCAAATTCATATACATGGGGTCACTACGAAAGTTTTGAGACAGAATGTGTTGTGGTTCATTAATTTCACTTCCAAGAAATACATTCTACAGCATCTTTCCTTTTTTTTTTTTTTTTGTTAGGTAAAGTCCCTCAATAGTATCCTTTCTGATTTACCCATGCAAGTTTCAACTTGTTTGGCTTATTCGTATTGCTGGGAGGACTTCATTTGTTTCTGGCCACGTGGATTTTATGTTTCTTGATTTTTGTGTATCTCAAAACTTTTCTTAATGACCCACATATATTATGCACAGACTTAATGTGAGTATGCTTTATTTATTTAAACTCGAAATTGTGTTATGGGAAATGTTAATAAAATCACAGTTTGTGTAAATACTTTGAAATAACAAATTTTCTCAAATTAAAATAATTAGGAATCTCATGATTTCACAGCTAGCTGATCAAATAAATTATGAATTATGTCTATACTGCTGTCATAAGAAGGTGCCATTTTAGCTTGTAAACAGAAATGGCTGGCATACTTGTTCATGTTAAGTGAACCAAGGCTGTTGTTTATATTAGAACTTCTGTGACAATTTCAGACATTATTTTTTTGGTTATTTTGTTATGAAACTTACCTACTTTCATTAATTTTTAAAAGTGTATTCAATGATAATATCATGCAAATATTTGTTAAGGTCTTTCTATTCATGAATTTAGAAGTTCTATAATGAAATGTTAACAAGCTGAGCAGTTACCATGTTGAGCCATACTTTTAATTAATGCAGAATATCAGAGATAATGTTAAGAATTGTTTCTAGGGCGCCAGCCACATGCACCCGGGCTGGTGGGTTCGAACCTGGCCCTGGCCTGCCATACAGCAACGACAACTGCAACAAAAAAATATCCAGGCGTTGTAGTGGGCGCCTGTAGTTCCAGAAACTTGGGAGGCTGAGGCAAGAGAATCGCTTAAGCCCAAGAGTTTGAGGTTGCTGTGAGCTGTGATTTCACAGCACTCTACTGAGGGCAACATAGTAAGACTCTGTCTCAAAAAAAAAAAAAAGAAAGAAAAAAAATTTTAAGCTAATAAAGCTAAAGCATCTTATAGTACTTGTGCTACACCAATGTTTATTTCCCATTTTTCATGAAAATAAATGTATATTATATGTATTTTATATCACATTTCTCCCTTGAGAAAATTAGTTTTGATTTATGTAAAGTTTGAATCATATAGGATTAAGAATCCAACAACCTTTCTGAAGCTCCCTCTAAATCCAAGCTCCAAAGTATGAATAATTGCATGTTTGTTCAGATCCTTAGAATACTCTGAAACACATTTCCAATAGCCCACTCTGTTTTCCCGGAAAATGGAGGAACTCAGTAGCAAATAGAAAGAAGCTAAATTCCCTGTTCAGTTTTGACACTGACATCTTATTTTTGATTGAGTTAGTTGTACTGATTTGGTTAATTTTACATAGCCAGATTCTCACCTCTCTGGTACATGTATAATGTAGCTCCAGACTCTTCTCTGGTCTAGCGTACAAAGAAAATTAATTGGGCATGTCTGTACTTTATTATTGGTTATAAAGATTACTGAAATGTGAATTAAGGTGCCAGCCTTATGTAATTTACTTTTCTGTAATACTAAGGAGACTCAAATGTCCAGATTATAGTCATATTTTCAGATCTTCATTCATAGGAAATTTGTACTGAAAACATTCTGCAGGAATAAGTTCCTAAATCAAAGAAAATGTCTGAATAAATCCATTGAATATTATGCTTTAATTCATGTTTATATGCTAGTAATTATAAGTTTAAGAAAATATATATTGATCTATGTAAAAATCATATTTTTGTTAATTATGAACTAGATGGGGAATATCTGTTTTGATGTGCATATTTTAAAATATGTAAATAGTATACACGTCATGCTGTAGTTTATTGTATTTCTTTTTTTAACTAATATTGTGACAGATTATTTTTTATATATTCTATACACAAATCCCTCCTTAGATATATGATTTGCTAATGTTTTTATCGTTCTTTGAGTTGCCCTTTCATTTCTTGAAAAGGTGCCCTTCGAAAGACAAAGGTCTTTTTTGTTTTATTTTTATTTTTTGTTGTTGTTTTTTGAGGCTAGTCAAGTGAAGCAGTGGGAGTGGACAAGGAACAATGGAATTTGTAACTGATTGTTATCAATTAGTTGTAAAAACCACTGCCCTTGGATCAGCCAAGGCAAAAGCTTTAATTTTTTTTTTTTTCCGAAGCTTTTGGTCAGGGCCAGGTTTGAACTGCCTCCTCCGGTATATGGGACCAATGTCCTACTCCTTTGAGCCAGAGACCACCCCAAAGGCTTTAATTTTGATGAAATCTTACCTAATTTTTTCTTTTGATCACAGCTTTGGTGTCATACATAAGAAATTTTGGCATGTTCAAAGTCATGAAGATTTATACCTTTTTTTTCTTTCTTTCTTTTTTTTTTGATAGAGTCTCACTATGTTGCCCTGGGTAGAGCTCTGTAGAGTCTCACAGCAACCTCAAACTCTTGGGCTTAGGCAGTTCTCCTGACTCAGCCTCCCAAGTAGGTGGGACTACATAATGCCAGCTATTTTTTGTTCCAGTAGTCTTTGTTTTAGCTGGCCTGGGCCAGGTTTGAACCTGCCAGACTCAGTGTATGTGGCTGGAGCTATAATCACTGTGCTATGGCCACCAAGCCCATACATATTTTTTTTTTTAACAAGTTTTATAGTTTGTGCTCTTATGTTAGGTCTTTGATTCATGTGAGTTAATCTTTGTAGATGATGGTGAGATAAGAGTCCAACTCCTTTCTTTTGCATGTTGCTCCTCAGTTTTCCCAGCAACATTTGTTCAAAAGACTTTCCGTAGTTAAATGGTTTTGGCACCCTTGTCAAAAATCATGTGACCATATATGTATGGATTTATTTCTTCATTCTAAATTATATTACATTCCACTGATCCCTAAGGCTATTTTTATCCCAGTACTACACTGTCTTGATTACCATTGCTTTGTAGCAAGTTTTGAAATTCTTAAGTGTGAGTCCTACTTTTTTCCCTCCCCCCCCAGATTATTTGGGCTATTCTGGTTCCCTTGCAATTCTATATGAATTTTAGAGGCAACTCTCAGTTTGTACCAAGAACAGTCAGCTAGAATTCTGATAGGAAATTATGTGGAATCTTAGATCAGTTTGGGTAATATTGCCATGTCAATCATGTTAAATCTCCCTATCCTAGAACATGGAATGTTTTGCTATTTAAATAGGTCTTTTTAATTCTTCCCAAAGTGTTTTTAACTTTCAAAGCAAAGGTTTTGTACTTCTTTTGCTAACTTATTCCTGATTAGTTCATGCTATTGTGAATGGAATTGTTTTCTTAATGTTCATGATCATTTCTTGTATATAGAAACAACTGATTTTTGTGTGTTAATTTTCTATCTTGTTGCTTTGCTGAATTAATTTATTATTTCTAATAGTTTGCATATGTGTGTATAATTTAGGATTTTCTGCACATAAAATCCTGTCATCTCCTAACAAAATTTTACTATTTTCTTTCTAATTTGATGGTCTTCCTTTGCTTTTTCTTGTCTGCTTGCTCTAACTAGAACTTCTTCCTTCTTTTTTTGGATACCGCTTGATCATCTTACTTACTGTAAACTCGTGCTATTTTACTGTTTTCTGTTCTGTTTTCTATTTTACTGATTTTGGTTCTTTATTGTTTTCTTTATTCTATTTCCTTGGGCTAATTTTGCCTGTTTTTTTTTTTTTTTTAATTCATGGTTACATGAGTTGCTTTTGTACAGTTTGAGTCAAAGTTGTAAGTGTGCCCAGCACCCAGATTGTGTATATTGTACCCATTGTGAATTTTTCCTTCATTCCTGTCCCCTCCCACCTGCTTGCTTTCCCTTGATTTTTACTACCACATATGCACATGGGTATTGATCAATTAGTTCCAATTTAATAGTGAGTACATGTAGTGTTTGTTTTTCCATCCGTGTGCTACTTCAGTTAGAATGGTCTCCAGTTCCACTGAGACTGTTAGAAAAGGTATTAGTTCACCAATTGTTTAATGGCCAAGTAGTACTCCATGATGTACATGTACCACATTTTATTAATCCACTCACGCATTGATGGGCACTTGAGTTGATTCCCCTTCTTCACAATTGTGAATTATGCTAGTTTTATGTTGAATAGAAGTGGAAGCATTGTCTTACTCTTAAGCATAGAGGGAAATCTTTCAGTCTTTCACCATTGAGTAATATATTAGCTGTGAGTTTTTAATATACGTCCTTACCTCTTTATTTTTTCTGTACATCCAAGTTATCACCTGGTGTCATGAAATATTTCCTTTAGCATTCCTTAAATGTAGACATAGTGGCAGTGGTTTTTCTCACTTTTGTTTACTTGAAAATGTCTTTGAACCTTTAATTTTAAATAATTATTTTAATGGAAAATAGATTTTTGCTCTCAACACTGTGAATTTTATTTCAGTATCTTATGGCCTCTATTGTGCTAGTGAAAATAAGCTAGTAATGACATTTTTGTTCTGTACTTACGTAATGTAGGGGCTTTTTGCTGTTGTTGTGATTTATCTTGTTAGCTTTGGCAGTAGTAGTTTGATTATGATATGCCTATGTGTAGCCTTCATTATTTATTCTATTTGTGGTTCATTGAGCTTCTTGTAGCTGTGAGTCAATTTTTTTCAACAAAGTTGAAATTTTTTTATTATTTCTTCAAATATTTGTCTGCCCTTTTTCTTCCTTTGCTGCTTGTTCAACTCTAATTATCCTTATGAGTTATGAAAGCTATTTTTAACACATAGTTTTAAACTTGGGAAAAATGCTTGGAAATAAAAGAGGAAGTATGAATGAAATGCCACAATTTTCTGAGACTATTTAGTTCCTTACATATGCACACACATAACATAACTCATTAGATTTACAGTGGAACATATTAATATTACTTGTCCTTTTTCTGTCTTTATAACATCTGTTCCTAGGTGCCTTTCCTCCCTCTGCTATTTATGCACGAAAAGACCTGCTACAGCGACCTGCCCATATTGCTACCAAGACTTTCCAAGCCCTTCGCATATTTGTGAATAATGAGCTCAATGAACTCAACACAGGACTGAAGACTGCTCAGAAGTTTCTGAGACCTGGTGGTCGTCTCGTTGCCCTCTCCTTCCATTCACTAGAGGATCGCATCGTTAAACGGTTCTTGCTTGGAATAAGCCTGGCGGAAAGGTTTAACCTAAGTGTTAGACAGAAGGTAATAAGAAAATCAAAATCGTGTTTAGGTCATGAAAACAAGGAAGGAGTCTCTATAAATAAAGCTCCTTTAATGTGGGAATTGATACACAAAAAGGTACTTACCCCAGAAAATAAGGACGTACAGGATAACCCCAGAGGGCGCTCAGCCAAGCTTAGAGCAGCTATCAAATTATGACACAGTTACCCCATCTTACTCTTTAAGTTTTTCTTCACAGTTTCTCGAATTTTTTTTCCTTGTGATGTTCTGAATGGCTTAGTAATTGTTTTAAGTGTGGGACAGTCTAAATTGATGGCATTTTTTTTTCCTCAAAAATAAATTAGGAAATATTACCATTACACAGTAAGTTCAACTCAGGAAGCAGCTGCAAAATGTGTTTATCTTTGCGTTATATTTAACTTTTTTTTTATTGAGACTGATTCTTATTCTGTTGTGCTGGCTAGAGTGCAGTGGTGTCATCCTAGCTCACTGCAACTTCAAATACCTGAGCTTAAGCATTCCTCCTGCCTCAGTTTCTCAAATAGTTGGGACTATAGGGCACCACCATACTCAGCGAATGTGCCACCACGCTTGGTTAATTTGCTAATTTTTTCTATTTTTAGTAGAGATGGGGTCTTACTTTTGTTCAGGCCAGTCTTGAACGCCTGACCTCAAGCAATCCTCCCACCTCGACCTCCCAGAGTGCTAGGATTACAAATTTGAGCCACTATTCCTGGCCTTTATATTTAACTTTTGAAATGCAGTCCTTTCTCTGGCCAAGAAATTAAAAAATAAAAAAAGAATACTATGTTGTATTTATCTAAATATATAAACTCAGTCTGTAAGGAGAAAGATATTATAGTTATATTTGCATGCCCCAATTTCTGAATTTAGATATTCAAATTTGCAACAGACTTCCTTTGGATCAAATAATTAATAATGATCATAGAATGAATTTTAATTTCCCTACTTGTGAATAATTAATTACTATGGCTTTTTCAAATCTAGACTTTACACAGATTTTAAATTTTTAAATATTTGTCTTAAAATACATCATATTGATAAATTTCATTATGGAAATTATACATCATTTTAAAGGTGTTTTTCAATGTGATATGGGCCATTTTTTCATGTATTATAAAATAAAGCTGTAGAATTCTCATGGAGCATTGTTTTACAAAACTTATATTTAATGTCAGTTGTACTTTTTTTTTATTGTTTGGAATCACTAAGGGTACAAAGAATTAGGTTACACTGATTGCAGTTGTTAGGTAAAGTCCCTCTTGGAATTGTGTCTCAGCCTCTGAGAGGTGTGCCATACACCATGACCTCCCCCACCCTCCTCCCTCCGCCTCTCTCCCTGATCCCTCATTAGCCCAGAATCTCTGACGAGAAGCTTGGATTTTTTAATTGAGCTATCCAAAATAATTCAGCCATGTCAATTTGAAATAGAAAACTATTTAATGTAGTAAAATAAGTGCTTCCTTAATGTTTTTATATAGGTATAGATACTGTGATAATAGTAAAAAATGTTTATTCGGGAAAAATATACTTGGTAGAGAATTCTTGAACAAATTCAAGAAATTGATTTATAATTCACATGGAAACTTTATGTATATAAATATGTCCTTCTAATTATTCAGTTATTCAGCAAGTACTGAACATTTCATTAGAGAAACAAAGTGCAATATGCATGGTCTACACTACCTGTCCTCCTGCCTTACCCTCCCACAGTCACCGCTACACCTGGCTAATATTTTTATTTTTTGTAGAGATGGAATCTTACTGTTTCCCAGGCTGGTCTCAAATGCCTGACCTCAAATAACCCTTCCGCCTGGTCCTCCTAAAGTACTAGGATTACAAACAAGAGCCACTGCACCGGCCATAAGAGGTTTTTAAACCTAATTTTTGTTTTAAAGAAGAAGCATAAATAATGAATCTGTACTGCATATTTTTAAAAACTCATTTTAATTTGAAATTTCTCATCCAAAAACTATGAGACAATTCTGAATAGGACATAATGGTTAAAAAAAAGAAATATATATATGTATTAATTCAATAAGCATATATTTGAGGCTAACTAGGAAGAAATTTAAAAAATCTCCTCCTTTTATCTTACTTCCCCTTTCCCTTCTCTGTTCACATTGATATGTGAATTTCTTATGCTAACTGAGGTGACATTAATTTATATTTCATCTTAAATACGGGAAAATATATTAGATAATAATGGCATGTACAATGGCAAACTAAGCCCTACAAGTTAAAATCTTTATAATTGATAAAAATCGATGAAGAATTGCTTCTAGTTAAATTTCTGGAATGTTTATTTTAGTACAGCTGTTTTTCTATTCAGTGTTCATAATTGCTGCAATGTTCTAGTAGATGCATTTTGTATAAGCAGCATTCCATAGCAGAAATTGTTAAAGCATAAAAGTAATTTTATGAGGTATTTGATAAAAATGTATATAATGACCGAAATCCTGATTAGAGATAAATTTTTCTTAGAACCACAATGCCATATATTTAATGTTGAATGAAACATGGTTTGTAAAAATCGATGACATGTTCTAAAGAAGGTGGGTTGTATTATAAGCATAACAATGTTTATAGTAATTCCTCAAATTTCATCTGTTTATAGATACTATTTCCAACTAATGTTTGATAACACAGAATGATCTGCAGAAATGCTAAGAGAAAGTGTAAGTGCAAATTATTTCTTAAAAGTCTCATTAAACAGTGTAGATTTTCAAAGCCATTCATGAGAATTTATGATGCAAGATACAATGGTCATTGTTTATAATGTATATTATTAATATAAAATTCTTTACATACTTTTTAAATATACATTACTTTCTTCTCCCATAGTCTACCCAGATTAATAAGCAACAAAGCAAAGGAATAGAATTTAATGCTCTGATCTACAAAGTAGAATATATCTCTTTGGTAGCATTATATCTCCTTAAGTAATTCTTTAGCTTAGATACTGAACAAGTTTTCTACCATTAGCAATTGCCATATTAAACACAGCATTACCCAAATACTAGAATACAAAGCTGAAATCAAACAAGAGAACAGGCTCCATATCTGATCCTTGAGTAATTGCTTAATTTCATTAAACTCTTTTTGTTAGCCAATGATATTTGTCTTACATAGATAAGGATTTATGTTCTTCAATAATCAAATGTTATGAATCCTTATTCTTTTACAAGGAAAAGTACTATTAAAGTCTTACAGGTGCTAAATGGAGGAGGAGACTGTTCCAGTATTATACAATATAACACTATTGGCTGTCGACTTAGAAAACCAGAAGTTTCAATTCCAAGTCTGCAATATTAGCTGAATATATGAATGTAGGCACTCTATTTAATGTCATGAATTCTCATCTGTTTCATTTAAAAATAAGGATAGTATTGGTACTTTCTCATTAGGTTTCTGTGAATCAAGTAGAGGATAATAAATGTGAATGAACTAGAAACTACAAGGAGAAAAGGAGGTCATCCAAACATTCCTGTAGTTTGGATATGATTTCTTTGACCCCTCCAAATCTTGTGTTGAAATTTGATCTCCATTGTTAGAAGTGGAACATAATGGGAGATGTTTTTGTTATGGTGACACACCCTGTCACGAATGGCTTGGTGCCATCCTTTTGGTAATAAATGAGTTCTCTCTCTGTTACTTCCAGTGAAAGCTGGTTGTTGAAAAGAACTCCTCCCTCCCCTTTCTTGCTTGTTCTTGTCATGTGATCTCCACATACCAGCTCCCCTTTACCTTCTGCCATGAGTGGAAGCAGCCTGAAACCCTCACCAGAAGAAGATACTAGTGCCAGGCTTCATGTCAACCTGCTGAACTGTGAGCCAAATTGACCTTTTTTCCATATAAATTGCCTAGTCTCATAGAAACACGGACAGGCTGAGACCATGCATTTAAAGCATTTAACACTATTCTGGGCACATAGCAAACACTTAGTGAATCATCTTATTTTGGAAAAGATTTACCAAAACGTAACTTAGATTTCTGGACACTATGATTAAAGATATTTGTGTTTTATTACAAGTAGTTTTAAGTGCAGGCTCTGCAACACTAGCAGCAACTGATTGGATTATAGTCAGTTTATTATTTGGGGATTTTATTCCCATTTATTATTTATTTAACTCCCCCAGTGTTTACTATACCTCAACAGGATGCAAAAAGCACACAGTCATTGCTCTTGTGGCATTTCCATTTATAAGAACACAAGATGGTATAAAAAATACCAACTGCTGAAGTTACCTGACATTCATTTAAATTGAATAAAGTATTTGTCTTCCTACACCTTCATATCAGTAAGTGACCAGCCTACGTGGTCTTTATAGTGACATTCTCCAAAATGCATTTTGAGAAGGCAAAGGAAATAAATAATTTGTGAGTTATTAGATGGAAGATTTTTATAGGACCATGAAAAACTTTCTACTTTTTCACTCTAAAACCAGTAAGAAGAGGCTAAGGGAAGAGGCTAATAAAAAGTATATGTTGTAGGTCTTAAAGGAAAAAGAACTCATGGAGATGAGAACTACAGTCATGAGCCACATAAGAACATTTCAGTCAATTCAGTGGTGGTCTCATATAAAGAAATTTTTGTACAGCTATACAATATGTATTTTAAACTATGTTTTATTATTAAAGAGTCCAAAAGTTTTAAAAAAATGAAAGTTTATAAAGTAAAAAGTTACAGTAAATTAAGGTTAGTTTATTAGTGAAGAAAGAAAATTAGCTTTTACAAATGTAATGTAGCCAAAGGGAACAGTGTTTATGAAGCCTTCAGTCTTACAAGGTAACATCTTAGGCCTTCACATCCACTCATCACTTACTCATTGACTCACCCAGAGCAACTTCTAGTCCTCCAAGTGCCATTCATGGTAAGTGCCCCAAACACGTGTACCATTTTTTTTTTTATACTTTCTACCATATTTTCACCATACCTTTCCTTTGTTTAGATAAACAAATATCATTGTGGTAACAATTGCCCACAATACTCAGTACTGTAGCATGCTGTACAGGCTTGTAACCTAGGAGCAATAAGCTATCCCATTCAGCCCGGGTATGTAGTAGACTGTACCATTCAGGGTTGGTGTAAGTGCACCCTCAAGCTTCCAAAATGACATGGACATGTATTTCTCAGGGTGTAGCACCATTGTTCAGCAATGCATATATTTATACTTGGAATGAGCGTCTGATCTTTCCTTTTACAGACCCAGGAAATAGCTATCATCAGAACTAGATTCTTGTAATTTGCACTTCTCATCATTTGTAAATCTCTTCTTGTATCCCTACTTTGTGCATATATGCCTCTGTTTCATCAGAAAGCTTATCCTTGCTTCCTTTTTTTGCTCTCTCTTCTCCAGTGCTTAGTTCAATCAATTTTGCTTACCCTCTATAATCTGTAATCCCTTCTTTCCCCTCATTTTACAAATGTTC